TTGCTAGATATTAAAAGGAATAATCTATCCCTCACCAAAACACAGTCCCCCTCCTACCATAGACTTGAGATAGTAGCTTTGGCTTGAGAGCTCTAACTAGGCAGACTTGCTGGTATAAATGCTTAGGGTACAGCCACAGACCATCAATATTCTGTCCTGAAGAGCCCCACCAAGAGCTTCCCATTCCGTGCGAAACTTGTTGCTCTTTATCACCTGACAGGTCACACTGAGGAAGCCCCAATGCACAGCATTAAGTCTTGGATGGACTCTGAAAAGAAATATATTTGTCACATATTGTCTAGATAAGAAAGAACTGGAAGTAAGACTGCAAGCTTTAGTTCTAATTTAGTGTACATTAAATATTAACGAATTACTAAGAAACCATTCGCTGAGGTTTAAACAACTCTTCCACTTACATATTTCTAAAGCTCTACAATTGTATTTTAATAATAGATAATTCATAACAACATTAAGTCTAAATTAAATCCACATTTCAAGCTATAAAAGCAACCCACTGGAATGCAGCAAGATATGCATACTGTTGCTGTATAACAAAGCCACTTTTTCATGGCATAATCTTATTTCTGCACCATACCATTAGCGTAACCAAACCTATAAAAGGCACACAGCAAAAAGCCTGTATAGTCTGTTGAGGAAGAAAACACTGACGTCTAAGCTAGGACTGCATGTTGTCTTCCACTCAATCCAACAATCCATTTTCAATAGTAGGGTATTTCCTAGTGCTTCTCGTTTTTTTCCACAAAGACCCACAGCATCTGGTATAATCGTCTTTTTTTTTTTTTCCTCTGTTTCTAGCTTCAGTAAAAGTTATTTTCCACACAGATACTCCAAACAAACTCCTCCTAAAACCCCAGGCAGCAAAACATTGATTTGACAATAAATGTGACTACAGCAAAGATCTAGCTTAGAAGCATCACATTCTCGTGCAGAACAGGGATTTCTGTGCCAATCTCTCCTAAAAGGGTGAAGCGTAAGCACTGCCCAATCCACAAGCATAGGACCAAAACCAGTCTGTCTTTCCTAATGTCAACTCCTAAGGAGAAAAAAAAAAAAAAAGACCTCAAAAACAAAAACCACAATCTGTTTCTTCAACAATCTGTTTTGGTTCAGCATCAGGGAAAGCTGCATTAGAAGTACCTCAAGTGTAGCATCTTCTACCAATCAGAATAAGTACACAGCATAGTTTGAACTCTCAGACCCATTTCTCCTCCTATTTTATACATATTTTCCTCTCTTCTCCTCGAGAAGTGCCTATAATTATTCTATAAAAGTACAGGCTATACGGAGCAGCGGAGCAGAGCTCCATAAGAGCAATGAACACCAACAGTTTATTACAGGTGGGCTTCCCTTCAGCAGCATCTTTTCAGAGCCACTAAGCTGCTGGGAAGGTCTATTGAAGTCCTGCTGTGCAGGGAGACAAAACAGCTATGAAAGGATTTGCCTGCGTTATACAGGGTTTACTGTTAATTAGCTCTCGTACACACACAGCACATAAAACAGCTTTTTTTGTTGTTTAAGAAGCGAATGTTCGTGGAGAGAACGTCCTTTGTTGATACAAAGAAAGTATTAGGATTGTAATTTGTGTTAACATCTACGCGTGGCTTTATGTAACCACTTGACAACGGTGGGCCTGGCTAATTAGCTTCTCTCAGCTAAAAGGCAGATGCAAATGGAATTTACTCAGGGCGTAAATCAACAGAGGCACCTCTTGCCTCAGCCCAACATGCTGCTGTGTTCCTGCTTCCCGTCCCGAATCCACCACGGGCTTCTCCCTGCACCTTCGGATTTACAACCTGGGAAACAGAAGCTTCGCCTGTGATCATCACAGAAGCTTCGCCTGTGATCATCTCGCTGCTTTTCAAGTTGGATGAATCACAGGAAGGATGAGTATGTTCAAAATTCATACTTGAAGTCAAAACTCCGACCGTGGCCTGGCATCAAAGGCTGACGCAGCTCAGCACACAAGTCCTCATCTCCTGTATGGGGCCTGGTAGCAGAGGGAGGAAGGAGGGAACAGGGAGGCCGCAGAGACGCAAGGTCACCTACACTGTGTCCCATCAAGAGCTGTAACAACCATAGCTGCAGTTTGCCGCTAAACCCTAACAGAAGGAGGGCTCCCTTCTCCCAACAGCTCTAGAAGCTTTTGCTGCCCAAGACAACACTCACCTCTTCAGGGCCTGAACTGCTTCGACAGCTAAGAATCTGCTCCGAGCCTTCGTGGGGATAAGCACTGTATTGAAAACACATATGGGTCCTCATGTGGGGAAGGACACGCATCCTTAGCCACCTGACCACTAACCCGTCATGTCAAAGACCCGTGAAGTGGTCCAGAGGAAAAGTAATAGCCAAAGGGACACTGAGCTGGAAATGGGGAATAAAAGGGTTTCCACCATCATTTTGGACGGTACTCTGGTTAAGGGACCAAAAGAAACAAAGCAAAAAACCATGCAGGAAGCCACTCGACACCAACAGCAAAGACTTTTCCACAGGACCAAACACATGCAGAAAAGCTGTTTGAAGTTTCCCTGGAAATCTGGAAAACAAGCTGTGCGATGCACCTCTGATTCCTCTTTATTAAACATGACAGTGACAATTTCTCTGCTATACTGCTAGGCTCTTGCAAAAGCCCTCAAGCCAATGAATCGTGGCAACAACAATTTGCAAACTGTAAAATTGGAAAGAAAAACACAGGTATGAAAATGGAAGTAGATGAACAAGATGAGAACTATCTCGTTTGTTTGCAGAAAAGGGTAATTTTTTTTTCTTTTTTTAGAAAGTCTGTAAGCCAAAGGAGGGGACAAAACTACTAAAAGGGACATGAAGAAGGTTTGATCTAAAGTGGCACCATTTTGTTTTACATATCTATCATGAATAAAAAGTATCACTTTTGCCAGTGCAGTTTTGCTCAAAAGGTACCATTTTCACCAAAAATATACAATTTGACAAATCTAATACATGTAGAAGTACAGAAGTCCTAGATTTCCTTCTTTGGCTTGAAAGTAAAAGAATACACATGGATTAGCATTTTATCACCTATACACTACAGTAATTTCAAAAAAAAAAAAAAAAAAGTTCAGCAAAACAGAAGCAAAAAATTCCACCCCATTTAAAATGAAATACTTGAGGGCCAACTGCCACTCATAGTGAATGGAACAGAAAATGCCTTGTTTGAGTGGATTGAAACATTTAATTTTCACCTCCCTTACTACCTTGGTAGTTCACTACCTTTACCACCTCGGTGGACTGCTGAATCAAGGAGACATACATAAAATTAAACACAAAATAAGCCTCGTCTGCTAACGCACAACTGAAGCCTGGCACTAGAGAACAGCTTCTCGCCACTGTGTCCTCACGTGTGAGGTCTCACACCTCTAATTTCACCTCTGCTTTTTAAACACAGGATTCAAACTAACATCTACTGCGTCTAACAAGAGTCTTTCCGTTGGGTTGGTGGGTATCAGGCAGCACCCACAGAGACTCACAGATTATCTGAACATTCCCCGTGCAAAATTAAGTTTTGTGGTTGCGCCAGTTGAGCTAAAGTGTGAACAAGTCTGCGTGGCTTTTGCACTAACAGGGAAGTTGGAAGGAGCAGATGGTCACAGACTGTAAATTTTTAACAGAATTATCCCACTGTGATAAGAAGTCATCCGAGTACAAAGCTCTTAATGTTCCTTAATGCTGAAAATCTAAGCGATAAAATGCGTGATATTTTAAAATTGATCACTAAAGCAAAGAACTGCAGCCTGTCCTTCATTTTCAGTATTTTAGTAACGCCTTTAAACTCATTTAAATAATAATACATCTTCTACTTTTATGCTTAGGGTGAAGTTAGTGGAGACTTTTAAAACTGATTGCGGGCTTTGAGCATCTCTGTTTGGATGAGCACATCTCAAAATTAGCTCAAACTAGATACCTCCCAAAAGGGAAAGATTCCAAAAACACTCAAACTTGAAAAACTCAAGTCTTCTTCCACTGCCTACTCACTGATCTCTGAATCAAGTCAAAACAGCTACTGATTTAATGAAATGGATATAATAGCTGGTAGCACTTCTAGAGTACGGCCTTTCACATCTAAACATGTTCTCCTTCAACACAGCTAGAAAGTTGTGGTCTCCACAGTATGTATATACCTATAAAGGACCACTTTTTTTTTTCCTCTCATTTTTAATTTTAAATCTGAACTTTAAGCCTATTCACTTCTATGACAAGAAAAAAAATAAAAACTAATATGTTCAGTGAGGTGAAGCTGATCAAAAGGATACATTCCTCATCTAGTTTGAGCTCATGACAGTAACTCCATAGCCTGAAAGTCATACTAACCAGTTTGAATTTGAAAATAAACAAAATCAATGGCAATAAAGGGTTTTCATAAAAGCAAATACAATGTAGCTAGAAACTTTGGGAATTTTTCCCACAGAAATTTGGTTTGAGGATCACTACTGAAAAACACAACTGCTGCAAAGTTATGTTTTTTTTTAAAGCAGAAAATAAAAATTATCAGACAGTGAATGCAGTAGGAACTGAGATACTTATTTTTGCTGACACGTTTACTTCGCTCCACAAAGAGAATATAAAATAAAATGAAGCTTTAACCTCTTAAGTTCTACAGAAAACACAAAAAATGAAAAAAATGTAAATTTCAATTTAACCAGATCTTTTTGTCGTGTTTACTTTCAGAAAATTTCCATTAAGAAACAGGTATTTTGCATCAATCAAATCTTTTTTTATTTGCCTTAACCCTGGAGTAAATATATACATTTTTAAAAAGGCATTTTGCAATCCACATAAATGCATAAATCACCTTAACTGATGTAAATTTGAAAGTTCAGAGGCACAACTTAATGTTGAGGACACATTATATTCTCCCGATGACTTGCATTTCTGGCCAAACTGGATAGTACAACGTTCCTATGGTAACTGAGGAAGGGTCTTGGCTAACAAAAAAAAAAAAAAAAAGGAAAAGTGGTGGATGTTACCTAGCATGTTGTGGTAAAGTGGACTGGCGTGTCCATGGATAGTAAATGCAGTCATGACTAGTGGGACCTCTACACCTGCAGGCAATTACAGAACAAAACACGTCATTTGCCATTCACAAGGACATGCACACGCATGCGCCCTTGTCCACACGTGGAGGATGGAAGGACACACAGGGAACGACCACTCGGCAAGTACCTATCCATGAGGCCAATGCAGTCCTCCAGACGTGGACCTATGCACCTGCAGCAAATCCGAACCAAAAACAAGGAGAGAAAGAGAGAAATCTGTTATTTACATATCTAGAAAGCTGGAATCCCCGCTTTGTGCTGCGCTCTTAATTATAATTCTCAAGAGAGACCCAAGTCATCAGAAATTACAGCCTGTGTCAAAAACAAGTTGTGATGAGAACAATAATAGCAACATAAACAGCACTCCAAGGTTGGACAAAGCTTGGCTCGAACAACACTTAAGGCAGGTTTCACCTGCATGCGTGGGAGGCCTGACAATAGAGTTGCTCATTCTGGATATACTTTGAAGCATCAAACCAGTGATTACTGCACAGAAGCTGCTCATTTGCAACACTCCAGACCTCCAGGACCACAATGCAAATCTTTTTTTTTTTCCCTGTAATTGATGTGATTGCTCATGCTGTTCTAACTCCCTAGCTGGGGTGACTGCAGGAATATTTTGTAAGCTGACTGTACTTTTATCAGGGAAGCTCAAAGGTGCAATTTGGGCAAGGGAGAGGAACAGCAAAACAGTGTCTCTGCTGATTCAAGCATCTATTCCTTGGACGTTGTCAAAAATCCTCCACCTGCAAAAACAGCAGGTGCTCCCCAAAGGAAAACTCGGCATTGCTCTATGCAGCATCACTACAGCACGACCACAGGCAAAGTGCCTGTTTGCAAAACAGGGCTATTTGTGGAGTTTCCTAACACTTTCCAAGAGCAGAAAGTCAGTTATAGCATTTACACAGCAGTCCAGATTCTCAAAACAGATAGGTGAAGTTAAGCTGTTGGGGGTTAAGGCAGCCTGACACCACTCGCTGCTGCATGTCCTGCTCGGTAGTCATGGGGACTGAATCTTAAGGCATCTATTCAGCTCCTGGCATCTTAAGGAAACCAAGCCACTTATTCCATCCATTTAACAAGATCATTTTAGCAACAGGATCTTCAGCCATACATCTACTGACAGATCATCTACTCCTGTAGAAGCTTAAAACTCACTTGTGCTGAGGCATTTTGAATTTAAGCTGTGATCCTCACCTCTCTTGTTTTCCTCCTTTTAGCTTGGTTGGAGAAAAGGAGACTCCTGTCAAAATCTAAAGGAGTTTAAATATGCTCCCATGAGATTGTCTTTCCACTTTATCATCACTTACCTCTCATTAGCTTTTCCTGCATCTAAGTTACCTACCACTTTGTCCTTTTAAAACAAATTTAGTGAATTCAATTGCACTTTCTTCTCCTCCTTCCTGACAACATGAATACCAGAGTGATCCTGCTTGCTAACTTGGATTCTCCTTTTTATGTAAAAGCTGGGACATGCAAAAAGAGATTGAAGGGATTTCCCACTAATGTTCTTCAGCAGCAAACATGCAGACATAAAACGGATTCATTAAATGGCCATGTGGCCAGAAAATGCATGAAGTGTATAGGGTGAATTTAAAAGCAACTCAAGAAACATGAGAGAGAGAATTCTTAACTTTTTTTTTTTTTTTTTTTTGAATTTTAGTTGTCTTGGGCTTCAGAGTCTAAGTTCTGTCCAGTCTCAGCACCTTTCTTGCAGGCATTCTCAGTATTTTGAAGAAAAACAGTTCAGTAATGGAGGAGACTGAAAAAAAGTTGTTCAGAGCTTCCATTTCCTAGCATGTCAAAAGCAGCTGAGCTCAGGTTTTGCTATAAATAAAAAGCAGGCCCTCTTCACATTAGAGGGCTGGGAGCCCATTACGAGCGCCGATAACTGTCAGACGAACATAAGATCCTGTTGTCTTGGAGCCATTTCACGGGGCTGCACTTATTCCCTCAGACTTTTGAAGAACAGGATCTGAACTCAGCAAGAGCATGCTGTTTGGACCTCACCCACGTCTGAGTTGAAACACCACTCATTTCTGTATTAAACCTATCATCCTCTTCAGTGGATTTCCCAGGCCCAAAGAGAAAACGTTGCCCAGGTGCAATTTCCACCCCTCTAGTCACACGGCGCAGTTCCTGGCAGCCGTGCTGTAAATTACAATATTATGTGAGAAATGACAACAAACACTTGGTTCTATTAACACGCTGATTGTCACCATAAAATCATCAGTTATTTTTCCTCTGAAATAACTGCTTTGGTTTCAGGCTTTTTGACACATATAAGTACAACACAATCATACATCACTTGGGTACTCAATTCACCCCCAGGGTTCCTTCTTCTGCTTGGGGTCTGCAGGCTATTTTCATTTCCAGGTTCTTTCTGTAAAATGAACTCATTAATAAGTATGTCCCAATTTATTAATGGGATATGCAATATTTTATAATAGCCCGATACAGCTTATACAGAAAATTACACTTGGGTCTCATCCTAGCATTACAGACAATTATCCTCTGAAAGAAAATGATGAGTTAAAACAGTTTTAAAATGGAGTAACAATGATTTTTTTCTTCCGAAACGACCATTTTTCCAAATCTCTCAAGAACTGTCTCTTAAGAAGTGAAGATAGAAAGATGAGTCCTTAATTTTTCACTGATTTGGAGTAGCAAAACCATTTCTAGTCAGATGACTTCACAAATTTCTCATCCAGATGACTTCACTTTTTCTCACCCAATGGTAAGAAACAAAACTCATTATAAAATGGCATAAATAGATTAACTCTAGATAAGAGAAAACCCTATTTCTGTCAATGACATAAAAAATTAAGGCTATGGATAAAGCCAAATGATTCGAAACCTTGGGTTTGTTTAGAAAAGAGGAACTGCACCTAAGGATGCTAAGGAAGTGGAGAGGGGGATAGGAAGAGATTTTGGAATGAGAAAATAACAACTATTCTCTTATTCTGAGTTTGTTGCCATTGAATTTGCACCATCACACCACCTAGATTCAAAATATCTATCTAGAAATACACCTGAATTTTATGGACAAGAGAGTCCTTGTGCCTTCATAGACCTTCTGGATCACAGATGTGCTGAAAAGGCTCCCATGACTTCTCTGCTCTTGGCTTGGAGAAAATCCAAAAGTTTTGGAGAAGAGTAATGCATTTCCTTCAGGAAAAAAAAAAAATCTGTCTTTCAAGAGGCGTGAGAGGAGGTGTCCAGTGGGATCTCCCATTTGTATCTTGCCTGGAGAAGAAGCAGATTGTCAAATGCTATTATATAATTAGTATTTTATTTCTGTGAAAGTGTTCCATTTTGGATCGCTCTGCGAGAAGAGGTGCCAAATGCTTTCTGAACTCTCATGAATTAGATGCAATAGCTGTCTCCTGCGCCCCAGCTCTGCTCCAAACTGGCTTCAAGCAGCTGATGCTTTATCACGCGGGTGCAAGGCCAAGAGCAGAGCTCTTGCATCCAGGGAAGTCACTCCTCAACAGTTCTCTCGGTCAAGGCAAGCCCATTAACAGGGCTGGATAACAACACAACTATTAACAGGAGTAGCCATTACACTTCAATAAAAGGAGGAGAGTGGAATAATCTCATCTCATGTTCCAGGGTGTTAAGCAATCATCCGCCGGTGCCTTGAAGAAAATTGTGGGAAAACCATCCACAGGCAACATGGATATGGGACAGACACATTCCTCTGAGACAGCAAAGGCTGGTGCTGACTAGAAACGAAGTCGGAGAACTAGCAATCCATTTCAGCACGTACCTTGACTTCCAGAGAGCAGCGCTGCAGGAGAGAGATAATTCCGAACACGAGCCGCGCTCGGCAGCAGCTCAGCCCTTTCTGACAAGCACCTCGGCTGTACTGCCAGCGTGTCGGTTTTATTCCAGCAGCTGATCTGACAGAGAGCACAACAGACGTGCTAGGTGGAGTACAATTACAGCTTCTCTGTGCCATTCTGTTGTGGATCAAATACCAAGAGAGACAAATACCAAGGTATGTTTTTTCCCCCATATGCATTCTTCAGTAAAGAAGAATCCTGGTTTGTGGTGCTGGTGGGGAATTTACATACTCATTTCTCAAGGAAGGATATGAAACTGGAGAATTCAGTGTTGGAAGCAAAGGAGACTAATTGATTCCTCTTCTCTCTGTGGGCATATCCAGCGAGACCCTGACAATGTTGGCAAGAAGATGGAAAATGCATAAAACTCAGGCCTCCGGGGCGCTCATTATGATCATCACAGTTTACCAGAACTGCAGAGAGCGCAGCACATTCCAGAAAGCCTTGAGAAACATTAGAAAAGGTATCTACAGTTACCCAGATTTGGGGGGAGCTGTTTTCAGAAGGAGTTACAAAAGACCTGAATACAGACATATTAACCCTTTAATAAGAGGAGCATTTCTGTGAGGACTAGTTCTTGACTGCTGGCAAACAGACGGCTCATCTGGAAGATGACCACGCTTTCGCCCATGGAATCCAGGAGATGTCTCTGGCAGCTGGACTACCAGTACCTTGCCATTGCTGTGGGGATTGCACATTGCACCACAGACCTTCTTTGACCTACTCAGCAGGAGCAAAGGCTGCAGACAGAAAACAAGGGAAAGCTGGAAGGTTAGGGATAAAATGACAAATGTAACTAGCCAGCACCCAGGGATGCTGCATCACTAAGGGTAGCCAGCGAACACCAGTAAATTCAGTTACAGCTGCCTAATGCCTTTCCTGCTTGTATCCAGACCAGAAGGTCAGATTTTCACCACGAAGTGTAGAGGCCTCCCTTCTCAGGCCCATTCTGCCCAGGGAGGTGAGAGCAAAGAGACGACATGCAAATCCCAGGGGCATACGAGGAACTGGAAGGGAAAGTGTCTGTTCTCCTAGTCCAGGAGAAACAGAGTTGTGCCACAAAAGCTGGTAAGAGAGCAGCCAGAAGCGAGGAGGCAATGAGAAGATCTCATGCAGGTTTGGACAGTGAATGTATTGCCAGCAGCTGGGCTTGTCAGGCTTGAGCAGAACTGGCGCTTCCAACTTCTATTACAGGCAGGTCTGGATCTCCTGCAGCAAGCTTGTCTTCTTGTGTTGTTTATTCTTACACTCTTTGCCTACAGTAGCAGCATTTTTCTTATTGCATAACTGATTTACAGGGCCTAAGCGGAAGACAAATCTGTAACAGATCCTGGCTGTGTCTTTGCGATCTCACTTTCATTTCCCTAATGGCTCTATTGTAATTAGATTTGCAAAACCAGCAAAAGGTCTCATTTTGAATGGCAACAGCTGTTGACATCAAGATTACATTGAATAATTTACTGGTTTAATTTTAGCTTCTAAACAATAAAAGCCTCCTGTGGAGGATTATTTCATTGGCTGAAGTTTTTGCATTTTTCCCCAGGCTGCCTCTCCCTTTCGTTGAATGCCGGACATCACTGACTGTCTCGCCAAAAGCATCTTCCTAACTTATGTGTCCCAGGCAAAACAAGAGCTGTGTATTTGATTGACTACTGTTATTTTGTTACACAAGCTCTTCATTCTGACCCAGATCCAATGGTCTATAGATTTATTTTCAAATACAACAGATGATTTGGGGTAGCTGATGCTCAGATTCAGATTCCTCCACAAACTTCGATTTCAAACAAACCCTTTGCTTCAGTTCCCATCCGTAAAAGGGAGCAGTAACTCTTTTTTCTGTCTCCCAGAATCGCTGCAGGGGTAGTCCATCAAAACCAGGGAGCTGGGATAAAAATTTTGTCAACAAATAAATACTAAAGTCATTGTACAGGCCAACATTCACACAAATGTCAAGAGCAACATTTGATATAAAGCACTGCTAGCTAGAAGGAAATCTAAGAGCACTGCTGCAAGCTTTTCAAAGTGAGTATAAGTCTTTTTTTTTCTGAAAAGTTGCTGGACATTCATGTCTGGAACCTGAATGCAATGACAGACCTGAAAATGAAAAGTTACATTACTGCTGCCTGCACACAACCATCTTCTGGAATGAGGCAGATGCGTTACCAAGCCAAACTGTAGCTAAAATCAAAACATGCCATAACGGCGACTAGAATGGCTCGAGTTCACAGAATTTGCACTTACCCTTGAGTGCAGTTCGGGTGACAAGGATGGCACTCCCGATCCTCATCGGCATACTTGAAAATGAAGCTGTTTGCCCCCTGTAAGCCATCAGGGCATTTTTCCACACAGTTTGGACCATCCTTGAAATGAAAACACTTTGTGCAGTGGTCGGGTCCCTGGAAAGCATGGGAGAAAAGCAGTGCATTCCAGTTACTCTGTCTTTTGCTGCAGCACAGGAATTTTAGGTCCCAGGCTGCGCCTCATTTGGTGCAGTTACCACAAGGACTTGCCCCCTTTAAGCTGCTGGAGAAATTTATTTCTACCCTGTTCAATACTGAACCATATTTGCAAAGCAACTGCAATGGCATCTCAGTGGGACTCACGAGCTTTGCACCCCTGAATTTTCTACTGCATGCTGCCTGGGGTTTGGGTCACGGCAGTACTAAAGAGCTGCAGGGAGACAAGGCTGCTAAGAACTACGTGCCAATGCTCCTGGGGAATTCAAAATGAAATGCAGGAAGCTTCATCTCAGTATGAGGAAGAACTTCTTGACTGTGAGGGTGCCCAGAGCCCTGGCACAGACTGCCCAGAGAAGTTGTGGATTCTCCTTCTCTGGAGATCTTCCAAACCTGCCTGGATGCCACCCTGTGCCACGTGCTCCAGGTGTCCCTGCTGGAGCAGGCAGGTTGGACCAGGTGATCTCTAGAGGTCCCTCCCAACCTCAGCCATTCTGTGATTCTGTAAACATATGAAAGCTGTGCAGACAAGCTGGTGGAGCCAGCCAGATCTGGTGCTCAGTCTCACCAAAGGTCTTAGGATGCTGGGGCTGTGAGACCTGCTACGAACCCAAAATTCCCTCACAGACTGAAAATTTGCAAGTTTAGCTTCTTGTTTCCTAAGGCATTGCAGATAACACAAAAGACAAAAATGCTCATATGTGTGTTTCTTTTTAATGCAGCACATTAAGCCACAGAAATAAGAAATAAATTACAGGTCGAATTGTCTCAGTGATAAAAAGCTCAAAATACAACTCAGCATTGCTCATTTTCTGCTTTTTATCTTGGCAAACTACAGAAGACAGAAATGACTTCTCTCTGTCCCACAAAAGACCAACAATCTCTGAAACAAAATTCACTGGCTCTCGTAAAGGTGATAACCATGATCAACATCGATCTCAGGATGCAAGAAATTCACTATCAGAAGAGACTAAAGGCTAATCTAAGTTGAAAAAAAAACCCACAATTGCTCAAGGTTGCTGAGAGATTGAGACAAATCTCCACACTCTGTGGAATAAGGGTAATGGAAATTGTAGGAGGATAGGACTGAATTGATTATTATGAATAAAAACAAAGATAAAAGAAGTCACTCATAGTGCAACTGAATACTATCTGTCATTTAAAAATGAAAGATGGAAGCAGCCAAAGCAACATAGGATGCAGCATACATATAGGAAATAAGCAATTTTGTGCATCTGCACCAGCAAAGCATTAACAGAGTCCAGGAAATGAAAGGATGCTACATTTAAAATCATTTTAAGAAATATGGTCCAGGGGAGTTTACTCTTAGCAGCAGCTTAACAGAATTCTTCCCTCACATGCAACTAAAATATATATATATATATATATATTTATATAAATAAATACACACACACACACATATATATATAGTTTCTGCTTTTGTCAACATTACCTTTCAACAGCCACTCTAATCCCATAAATAGAGAATACCTGTGCTTTAGCACACTTCAGCAACCTTAACTTAGCCCCCAGTGCAGCCAGTGCTGTTCTTACCGGCCCATAGCACGTGATCATATTATCTTCCATCTTCTCACACTGGGGATCACACTCCACACAGACAGAACCATTTGCAAACTCTCGAAATTCCCTTGGGAAAGATTTTTGCAGACAGGTTAGAAAAAAGCAAAAATTGAGACTGCAACAGCTAAAAGGGCTGGCTCTTCACCTGGTGGAAATCATTTCAGCTGAGATCACTTCTTTTAATGGCATCCTGCTGATGATCAAGTCATGATCAGCTGCTTTACACCAGCTGGAAATTGGGCCCATCAGCAGCATTGCTCACAGGCAGGTGAAGCAGAAGGTATTTTGCTTGACAATATCAAACTATGGAGATATTTTTTCTCCTCATGCTTTAAGAAGGACCTGATTTACTGGAGGAAATTACTCATTTCTCTTTCTATATTTGTAGAATCAACACTCTGAGCTCAAACTCAGGGAGCTAAGTGGTATATGAGACACATCATCATCAGACAGAAAAGTAGTACAAAAACACTGGTAACAGTTTTCTCTCCGTTGTTTTTGTTAAGTCTGTTAAGTAAGGAGTCTGTACTCCAAAAGGCTCCTATTTTATAGATTCACCCATTTGCTTTAAGTACCTGCAAGAAAACTATCACCCAGATTATCTTTTTAATTTTAAACTGCTTTACTTCCCATTGAATTCATTAGCTAATCTCTGGCACAAAGTTGTGAGATCTTCCTCACTCAATTCATCCCACTATCTTCTAGGATGAAAAGAAGTAACATCTGAACATATCTTTCTCTTCCATTAAATCGCAGGGAGCCTACACAGCGAGCTCAGACCAGGCACCTTATTGATCCCCAAATCCAAGTTTGGGGATCAATAGCATCCTGATGCATTAAACAGTGCAGCTACAATATCTCCACAAAGGATGAATGTCTCTGCACTTGCTTGACTGATGCTTGAAAATTTGGGGGTAGAAGGTGGCTTTTAAGCAAATAAAACTGTGCTCTGACAAGGTTTTGGGACGCATTCACCTGAAATAGCTTAGAGTATTTTCTCTAAGTACTCATGGCAGTTCCTTCAATACCCTCTCCATCACTTCTTCTGCAACTAACATAACCTGTTTAGGTTTTTCTGTCCTAAGACAGACTCAGCCAGCTTTGCCTGTGGTGTGTGGGTCTTCCCTGCTCCATCCCCTAGAAAAGATGGTGCATGTACCCAAGTGGGAGCAGGAAAGGAGGGAAGAACTCAAGTTATTTTTATTATCTGCAGCTGTGCATGAACACACGGTATTTATTAAAAAAAAAAAAAAAAAGAGAGAGAGAGAGAGAATCAGTTTCCTTCTTTAAGATCCCTGTTTGGAGATTTTTTTTATCATATGCCTAAATCTAATTTATATAAAAGTACAAAACTTGATGGTATTCTGAATAGGGGTATCAATATTCAAATAGGGTTAACGGAGTTTTATTTTCAGAGATCTTCAGCTGAAACAAATTCTTTCCATGCTCAGGAATGCAAGAGCTGAAACCAACCTGTGATACCGCCTGAAACTTCAGCGGGCAGAAGGCTAGGTAAACCCCTCCACTTAAGTTCAGATTTTGAAATGTTTATACTTATCCCACAGCGTATTTTACTCCGGATCAGTCACAGTGCCAACTAAACAGATTTTGGCTTAATGAACACCATAATGAGCATCATAAGGGAGAAGTGCAAGGGAAGCGCCTTACCCGTCGTAGAGGTTGCAGGAGTCTATGCAGGTCCTCCCCCGGAGGAAGCGCTTGCAGGAGAGGCACTGGTCCGGGCCGGGGCCCCAACAGCCGTCGCTGGAGCACAGCTCGTTACACACCATCCCATCAGCAGCTGCAGGCACAGGCCACACCATCAGCAAACACCCCAAAATCCACAGGAAAACGTTTTATCCAGCAAACAAAACAGCAGATACTTCCCCTCAAACGAAATGACAAGAAAATCTCTCATAAGTCAAGAGCCAACTCCTTGAACACAGCATGAGTCTTGCCCAGAGAAGAGGTGGCAAAATCCCATTTTGATTCCAGTTACGAATGTTTGAATTATTCCTCTAATCTCCTCATTCTTGTGGAGGGCTAAAGGCCTCCAACCTTGACAGCCTTGAAGACACAGAGAATGTCAGGCTCTGTGAGGGGAACACACCCTCTAACTTCATCGTTGTTCCTCTGGAGCAGCAGATCTTTCTCTTAGTCTACCTGATGAACTGTATTCTCAAATCAGGTTAAGAATAAAATTACCAGAACTATTCAGCACCGAACTCTTAACAATAAAGCACTGATTAGGGAAGCCATGAGAAGCCAACATCAAGTGTTACTAAGTCCATTGCACCTGAAAATGTCATCAGAGAAACAATGCCCAGAAATTGAAGTTTTTCCTTGTTTGAAACAAGCTGTTTTGCAATGGGTAGGAATGATTGTAGAGAGTAGATTAAAGGACACACAGATACAGAATATGTTATAGCACAGTGTATCACAGAAAAAGAATTGGAATAAAACGAATTTGGTAATGGGAAGGCATGCCCCACAGAGCAGAAAGCAAGTTCTGTGAAGCAACCATGTAGACAAGGGCAATCTGTTTAAGACAAGGTGCTTTACAGGGAATAATGCGGATGAGGAGGCGGGGGGAACAAAGCTAACTTTGTACATAGGCCAGTGGGCTGCAAGCTGACTGCTACAAGTCAAGAACAAAACCTTTGCATTAACATCAACCCTTTTGTGAAATGCCCGGTCAATAGGCAGAGGCCAGAAAAGCTATCAAATGTTGAAATTTTCTTCAACAACTGTAGAGAATATAGAGAAGAGAGGATATAGTAGAAGGAGAAAAAGCAATAGGCAGAGGCCAGAAAAGCTATCACATGTTGAGATTTTTCCTCAACTACTGTAGAGAATATAGAGAAGGATATAGTAGAAGGAGAAAAAGGGTAAGAGAGTGTAACAGGTTTAATCAAAACTGTGGAGAGGCTTCTGTAGCAGGAGTAAGGAAGGCAGCAGCCCTAAGAAATGGGTGAGGAACAACACAATGAAGATCTCTGTAACCACAAACGGCAAGAAGAAGATGTGCAGAAGGAGAACGGTTTGTTGCTTCTTTCAAGTCCCTCATGGGCACCTGAAGACACAGACGCCTGAGAGGGTTCAAAAAACTGAGGTTTCTTCTTCATTCAAAGCAAGGCTCAGGCTGCAGAAGTTCTTGACAGGGGGGCATGGTAATCACCAAAATTTTAAAGAATTTGAAAATGCAATTGGCCAAGTTCATACAAAGATTAGTGAATTAAAATACAAAACACTACTGCTGAATCCAGGACACCATGAAAGGAAACTTATGGATGATGGGAGAAAGTTGGAGGAAATTATCAATACTTATTGGGACCTTTCAATTGTTAATTGCAAAAGCACTAAAGAGCCAAAGAGCCTTTTACATTAAACACTTACATACACAAAATAAAAAAACGTCTCTGTCACAAAACCAAAATTCAATTTAAATAAATACATTGAACAAAGGAGGAGGAAAAGGTTGTTTTAACCATCATATTAGTTCCCTGTTTTATTTTATATAAATCCTTCATTGAGTAAAGATCTAGACGGAATAATAAAACATGGTTTCATGTGGGACAACTGGAGAAAGTGAGCAATGAGCCAAAGAAAACAAGTATTTTCTCTCCAGCATTTGAGGAAGGTCCCATTACTCTGATTCAGTTAAAACTCAGCACCTTTAAAGGGTAGAGCTCTTGGTTTGAATTCACCCTTGCACTGTTTGAAACATTTTATCTAATTGGGATTAATCCACCTGGAAACAATGGAGGGAAATACCAAATAATAAATTTAAATACACGTTTGCTGGTAAAATTCTATATAATGCCCTCAGATTTCTTAAAATGAGTATGTCCAATCAGGATGAACACACTTGTACACACATGGAATATACCTATGAAACATCAACAGTATGTACATGGCACACATTTACAGAGGAGCAACAGCAAAATCAAGAGAAATCCCTCTCAGACAATGCAAAAAGTCACCCGGCATCTTTATGTTAAATAAATAAATTTAAATAAATAAATAGTCCTGCCTGACAACACTTTTCTGCATTTCTTGCAAATGCTTTGGGGAGAAAACTATGCCCTAATTTAATTTCAGGATACCTCAAGGTCTTATCTACACTGCCACAGCTAGAAGAATACAGCTACTGTCCATTACGATCTCACATAACAGCTCAAGAAAATACTGAATCCTAGCAGCTAAGAGGCACAAAGCCCTTCTAACTCATAGAGGAGTTAGCAGGAAGCTTCTTCCTGTTCTGCACAACGTGTTTTAACCCTGGTCACACTGTGCTACAGGGCATTACTTTAATGTCCCAAGCCAGCAACCTCAAGTGCCCCCTTAGGAAGCCACTATTGGTCACAGCAGCCTATTGTATCACACTGCTTCCTACAGAGATTCTCTCTTTAACTGCTCCTTAAATCACCTCTTTTCATCACAGGACCCTGTTTGATGCGCATGCACCTCAAACATCCTCTGATCTGAACGGCATGCTGGGCTTGTGCCCTCCTCTTCTGCTTAAACAGCAGCTCCAGCACCTCTCATCCTGGCAGATGTTCGTCCTGCTCCATGTTGGGGGGGCTTTCCTTTGACATGTGCTTCTTATCCTGTCCTTCCTCCCACTGCCACCCTGCTTTTGACCACTGAGCTTATTATACAACACTTCTTGGGGCAGAAAAACACAGAAGTGTATTCAGGGCACACTTAAAGGCTTCCCTTTTCTAGTCCTTGCAACAAGGAGGCAGGAGGGAAATGTCTCCATTTCTCTTGCTTTGCACTGGCACATCTCAACTTCTCACGATTGAGGATGGCAGCTCTGCATTTACTTGTTCCTTCTCCTTCCTAGAACATTTTCATTATTCAGTCCCGAGAAAGGGCATTTCCATCTTCCCGAGCAGCCCGTGATGTTCTCCAGGCCCAGCAGCAAACCCACTCGTGACCCGCACGTGCTGCCGCTGCCTCCGCACAGCTCTGCCAGGCAACACCTCCAGCTCTGCACAGCCCGAGCCCTGCTTTATTCCAAACAGTGCCACAAATAAGCTGGGGTGTGAAAAGTCTGCACACCTGCGTCTTAGCAAGACTGGAAGGCCAGGTAGTTTTCCTTTTCCTTTTAATCATGTTTCTTATTGACAACAGTACTTTCCTTTTCCTTCTTTTGCCTTAAAGCACAAGCCAGCCATAGGCAAATATAATATAAGAGTAATTCCAGGCGGCTGTGCAATTTCTGCTTGAATGCAGAAACACCAAGTTCATCATTACTACCTAACCATAACCACAACCTCCTCAGCAGTTCCACTCCTTTGCCACTGACTGAACTTCTCGGAAGCAGGAGGAATTATGCCAGCTCTTCACCATAGCAAACTCTGCAATACATGGACAACACAGCATTTCCTTTTGCATCTATTTCAGACATACTGCTTATACCTCAGTCTCACACTGTCTTTGTAGCATATAGTTCAGGAGAGGCATCGGCTGCATGTTAAAAAACAAGTTTTCCTTGTCTCACATTCACTGCCCAGGAGCAAGTTCTGTGTCATCCAGCTGGTTGTCTTTGGAGCGACCCCAGCTGAGCCGGGGGATTTAGAGCAGACTCCAGCACTTCATGCCAGGTCCTGGCAAACCCCTTCATCTCATCCAACCTGGTGACAGGTGACTGACACTGCCAAATATGGGCAATCTCTTTCTTTTCATTTCTGATCCCAAGAACAAGGTCAGTCCTTCCATTTTACACAGCTGGTGGTCAAAAGCTGGTTTCCTATTTGCTCGCTCGCCTTGTTTTTTAACTTGAAACTTTGTTTTTATTACTAGTCATTTGTTTTTCTTTGCTGGTATCAATGGTTAGGACACTCTAGGATCAGAATTTCTTCATGGGCACACAGTGCTACACTGAAATACTCCTGCAAACAGCGAGGATCCCTCTCTTAAAAGCCAGCCCAGGAAGCACACTCAGTGAACCTCATGTACATGCAACCAGAGAGTTTTTCAGGGAAGAAAACCATGATGACACTATTGAAATGTAGCCAACACAGGGCCTGCAGTGTATGAAAAAAGACAATCAGGGAAGAAAACCATGATGACACTATTATGTAGCCAACATAGGGCCTGCAGTGTATGCAAAAAGACAATAGTTTTTTTCTTTTCTCTCTTTTTTAAAGATCATGATTTCATTCTGCTTATTACTAAGTCATAGCAATGTTTTTATAAATGAATCTTGGCAAGAAAGGAGTGATTTTTTTGACAACTTACAAAACCTCTTCTTTAATTACAGGGGAGATAAAGAAATGTTTCCATTTTAGATGTATTATTTGGCATTTTAATGGATTGAAAATGCTCTGAAGCTCTAGTGTTTCACATGGCTGTGTGTGGAAGGAGCGAACAATATTGCTTTTGATAGGGACTCATTGAGAGTTTCAGAACAAGTGTTCATTCTCTATTAATGGGGTCACACAGGTTAGAAGCAGAAAGGCTCAATGTGCTTCCACAAACCAGATGGAACACAGGAAAATTAGCTATCTAAAAAAAAAGAAAAATTATTGTTATTTGGCTATTTACTTACGGGCCTGATCCAAAGCTCCTTGAACTCAATAAAAAGCTCCCGCAGACTTCAATTAGCTTTACATCAAGCCTGATAATGAGTGCCATCATTTATTCAAGCTGTTAATTGGTAGCTAAATTGATACAATTCATAATGATCACATTTAAACAACCTTTGCCTAGAAAGGTTTTCACTGTACACCATGGTTGTCTCCAAAACTGAAAGGTGTATTTAAATAAGTTTGTACAGAGCAGCATTTTTTCTAATTAAGTGCATACTCCTGTATTACATGAGCCATTAAAAAAAAAAAAAAAAAACCCCCACGGGGGAAAATAAGGGAATGTTCACTTCCACATAAAGGTGAATGGTAAAATGTAACATCCAGACCACAATCTCTACCAAATAACTTTGTAGTCATTTATTCTGCATTAATAATGTTCATTATGTAGAAAGTTTTCTGCATAAACTGCATGTAGTATTGCAGTTTATAGGATTATAGAATTTAGATATACATTAGGTGAGAACTGCATGCACTGCATTTGGGTAACTCCTCTGCAATTAATTTCCACCAGGACTAACCAGCTTGAAGATGCTCGTTCGGCTCCTGAACCCCTCCTGCACAACCCCTTTGGGGATACAGTCAGACTGGGCTACAGGCACAAGGGCTGCTGAAGCCCCAGCTGTTCTTAAATCACCCCTTGCAACGTGCCTGCAAGTCCAGCCTGTCCCGTGGGCTCTCGTAGGATCTGTGCTGCTCACAAGCTTCTCGTTCGTCATCCCTGCTGCCCTTTCCCCGCTTCCTTCAGCGAGCCCCACGCACGCTCAGCTCGGACACCCACGCTCCCATCCTGCACGTGTGCGTGTGGAAGGCAGGTGGTTTCAGCCTGATTCCAGGGTAACTGACCTGCTTCGACAGCTGCACGCAAAGTTTGCTCTTGGATCCCGTGATCTCACTTCAGGTATCGCCACGTAAGCTTTCTGGAGAGACAACCAGCCCCAACTAAAAATCTGCTAGTAACCTTACCGGATAGGTCACGGACAGAAAGGAGGAGCTCGGTGACTAAGAACATTCCCCAGACTGACCTTTCTAAAACAGACAGGCTGCTTCAGTGAAGCAGGGCAGGAGAAGCCCAAGACGCCGGTCTCGTATCCACGAGAGAAGGGTTCCACACAACATTCTCTGCCTATTTATTGCCTTCAGAATTCATATTTGTGAAACCAGATTTCTAACACTGGGAGGTTAAAACCAGTGCAAAGGAGCAGGGCTCGCTCTCCTCAACCTTTCATTTGTTCCTGTGTTGGAACACTTCAATTGCCTACAGATCTGATCAGAGGCAGACCGGGCCAAATACGAAAGATTCTGCGAACCATCACAGTGCCCCTGATGCCACAGAGCTTAAGCAAGTGACAGCAGCAAGGTTCCTGACCTGCTCCCTGCACTGCATCCCTTCACTAGTTACAGCGTTTTTTCCACCAGGGAGGCAATCTCAGAAAAAGAAAGATAGATATACTGAGCAGTACGTACTGCAGTTCTCGGCTTTTTTGTTTCGATGAATCACCGTCTTCTGACTGGGTGTGCTGAAGAGGCTGGTCCAGTTGACAGTGTGGTAGTAACACAAATTGCTGTTGTCGGTTATGTAGATGTTGCCAGCACTGATTTGCTTCAGGGACTGAAACTGCAAAGAGGTAATGCCTTGCTGCTTTAGGATGAGCAAAGACAGGCCACTGTCATGAAAACAAAAGAGAACAGGAATTATTGCCACAAGGTGGAATTTATTACAGCTGGTTGGGAATTTCCCACTAGAATGATTTTCAAATGGCAAGATGACCTTTTCTGCAAAACTGAAATTTGGTCAAACTGCTTTTATTTTGGTGTGATAAAAATGAGAATACAAGTATTATATGAGCCAACACACATTGTTTTATTGCCTAGAAAATTACGAGTCTTGTGAGAATTGTGATACTACAAGCTGTGATGCTCAGCACTAGGCCAAATGGGTCAGAGCTACTACAGTCGCACACAGTCCCATTTCACACATTTTACTCCTTTTTTAATAAGCTGCTGTTGTAAAAACTGAAGAAAATTGGCTTTTTTTTTCTTTTTTAGGAGAGTGAATTAATACTCTGATAGTTTATAAGATAAAGAGAAGCGGACAAAGTCCTGCATAGTATGTCAAAGCCTTCTGTCAGGCATCAAATTAATGCCATTTATAGTAATATAAGAAGAAATGGCTATTTCCAAGGAAACTCTTTTAGTCCACTTTCTACAATTCATTTTTCTGTTATTGTACTATGTGATTATCTTTGCTCATCAAAAGAACAGTAAATGATTGTCTGCATAATATGGAAATGACTGCATGTATTTAATGACTGAGAATTAGTGAGGCTAATATCCAGTTTCTGGGCATCCTTTAAGTTATTATATTAAACGATTATAATTGTTTTCCAGCTGTTCTTAATAAACACTGCCATTTCCAAACAGCATCCCGGGCTGTAATTCAAGCTCACAGCTATACATAATCTGCCTGGCTGTTGTTTAAGATGTCAGCAGAATCCCATGACTAATTTGCTCCATTTCCATAATCGGGAATCAGGGGTTGCGGCATATATCACACAGATACCTTGAGGCACTCCCCCATTATTTCTCCCTGTATTTGCTTCTCTCCAAAAACAACTCATCTATATCAGCTTTCAGGCCAAAACATCACTTGCAGGAAGGGAAACACAAAGCTAATGCAGGCTCCATCTGCAAAGTACTTCGGGGATCTCAGTGATCTCCCTTGTAGGCGTCTCCACTGCTTCCTCAGACCACATCACACTATGGACACGAGTCTGCACTTCAAATCAGAATTTTTCAATGGATGCTACAACCTGCCAGATAATGGGGCTAAAATCTTTTTTCCTTTGAAGTTACAATTTCACATTCACAAGGTATTTTCATATTGAGGGCAGATTATGATGAGTTGGCACACTACCATAAAAAGTACTTTTTGAACTATAAGTTAATGCCTACAAAGTGAACCAAGAAATTTGACTTGTTAAAATTGCTATATTCAGAAATTATTATTATTATTAAAAAAAAGCAATGAGTATACAAAAATACTAATAACGAATTCCCTGGTAATGGAGAAAACAAATGAATGCCTTAGGATCACACTTAGGATATTGCATTCTATGGTACTGACCAAAGAACAGTAATAACCCTGCAAAACAATTTCATAAATAGAGAGCACACCTTACCTATACAGAGCTCTTCCTCCAATAGTTACCAAATTTGAAAACACTCTGAAATCTGTCATATTCTCAGGCCATGACTGTATGTTCAAATACCCTGAAGGAGAAAAACAGACACATAAGCGTCCATCATTTCAGCCGTTAAGTCTTTTTTATCACATACATGTGTTAGGACAGGCTTAGCCTTTAATCCAAAGACCGTGCTTGTTTGGGAAAAAGCAGCAAGTAGATAATGAATGCTGCAGAGTTTCTTATAATTCGTCAGCCTGCTCAGCTCTGCCTCCTCCAGGAAAGCCAAGAAGGATTATAGCTCTGTTGCAGAGACCACCTCTGCACTAGCCCATTCTCAACATCAACAACCAGGGCAAATCTGAACCCAAGCTGAAAATTTGCAGGGCCTCCCAGCCTCCCCTGAGCAAGGGCAGGAGACAGAATGAAGATTTGCTCTAATTTAGAAGAGGAGTTTTAAGGTATGTTAGGCACTTGGGACAAAAGTTGAGAAATCTATTCTGATGCATCAAAAATAACAGAACTTGGTTTAAACAAAGAGCTCACATCCACTTGTGAATGTGTCTGAGGACTGTTCTTCACTGAAGAGCACTCTTATGCACAAGTATTAAGGAAAACTGTTTTGTTTTACACAGACCTCTACACAGTACCATTCTCCACGACTTTATTTAAATATAGG